CTGGTCAATCAAAACTCAAACAAACATTCTGTTAAGTTTAAGTCATTAATAAAATTAATGAAAGGCCCCAAATCCTTTCCAAAAGAAACTGTTTGGATTTCCTAACATGTTTTATTCTTTCTAGCAGCAAATTAGACGACATGTGTGTTACGCACTGAGTGGCGCGACGTCTACTGATTCCAAGCCAAAGCAATACATTGTTTTTGCAACTAACGAGCTTATATCTATGAAAGTACATTCTGATTTACTAAAGTTATGTTCCCCAGGAAATAAAGCTAACAGGACAATTTAGGATCCATTGAGACTTTTTAAAATAATTTTTCAATTATATCTTTCACTTCCATCCAAAATGCTTTAATTTGTTTCCATTCCAACATGCAGTTTATTAGAGTCCCTTTAGAATCACATTTTACACAAACATCTGGGGGGTTATTGCTGTATTTATCTAAATGCACGTCAGTAACAGATTAGCGGCTGTTTATGGACATTGGTTGAGCTTTGATTTTAATTCACTGATGTTTGCTGATAAGTTCCAGTTTAGAAGCTTATTGTTTGATTTCTGCAGTGAGTTAAAAATCAGCACTTTATAAAAGTTGAAATGATGCCTTTCTTGATTTATTCCAGGTGAAAATGTTCGTTTTACTGCTAAGCTGTTCATTCTATGCCTGAAAGCTGTAAAAACGAAAGTTTGTCTCTAAGTTACAGTAAACCTGGAATCCAGAAAGACATTAAAAAGAAAATGATCTGAAGTTAAATTAGTTTTTGGCACCAATTCAGTTTTTTTTTTTTTATCTGTAAGGGATTTTTATCATAAAGCTTCATTCCTTGGTGATACATTAATGTTTTATTTTCTGTAACTTTGATTCTAACTTGATCCAGTTTTTTAGTGGCTCGTTGTTTGGACATTAGGCTGAGAGGAAAGGGGGGGAATGAGGGAGAGACATGCGGCAAAGGAAAACAGACTGGATTCCATTATTCATGTTATTTTCTTTATAGATCTTCTCTATATGTGATTCAGTTCATCTGCATTCATTCATTCTCTCACGTTCCTTTAGTTTCCTGCTCAGATTCATGTGTTTCGTCAGATTCAGTGACTTCCTCCTTTTATGCATCGTTTTCATCTCTTAAACTAAAAACACATCGATGGCATCGATCTGCACGGTCACAGAATAAATGGCTGGACACTAAAACCTAAGAACTGTAAATCTTTCTTTGCATAAATCTGCTCACGTGTTTGGAAAATACATCCTCACACGGTTGCCTTGACGACAGCTATTATGGTAAAAGAAGGAATTCCTGTAGAGCGAGTTCAGGGCAGACTTAGAAACGCCCTCAGTGTTTAAAGTGGGACTTCCCAGAATGACTGGTTCAGGAAACACAGGCAGTGAAAGTGAAAGAAGTGGAGGAATAAAAGCTCCTCCTGCAGCCAGACGGACGACAGAACAGAAACTTCTGCTTCAGGTCCCTGCAGACGGTCAACCAGCAACAATGAGTGAGTATTTCATCCTCAGCAGCTTCGGTTGGAGACGGTGGCGGTT